GCACTGACCCATGGTGAGGAATGCTTGGCCACGAATGTAGCCTGGGTGGTTAGCATTCCCAGAGAAAGACATTGAATTTCAGGACTTAACAATAACAGTTAGTTGGCTGAACCCTGAGTGGTTGGGGTATGTGCAGAAAGAGATTTACTGCGGGTTATGTCTACCAAAGTTGCTTCATGTCTGACCTTGACTTAACAATCAACACCTGGGTCTTATGTTTGTGTATTCTCTGCAGGGGCAGCCAATATGTTTTGAATTTGCTCTAAGGTGTTAGCTAAATGTGTCAAAAGCTGTCTTTGTAATCGAGAATACTATACTTTCCTGTGTCACTTACGAAAAAGAGTCTAGTATTATCAGAATTATATAACGTAAGCAGAAAGCATCTTCCTGACCATCCACAGCTATATGTGTGCCCAGAGATGTAAAACACACTACCAATGAGCTGTGGAAAGAACCACACAGTTGTTCTTTTTAAAGGAGAAATACAATGGAACGTGAGAGAAATTACAGACAGGAGCAACCGGTCATTTACAGTCAGTAACTTTACGGCTTTGCCAAGTAGGGTTCCCTGTCTGGTGCGTTGACCTGTTAAATACTAGTTGCCCCCTGCTGTATACTCCCACAGCCTCCTGCAAGAAAAAAAACCTGCTAAATTAAATCAGCCTGTATACTTTAAAGATGTATTGATCACAGAATTGAAATCAGGATATGTTTTACATTGGGGAAGAGGTTTTGCTTTTGTTTCCACAGGAGAAGAAAAGCTATGGATACCATCAAAATTGATAAAGATTAGATTTGAACAGGAGCGATCTCTTGATTCAAAGAGGTGATAGTTCATCAACCAGCATGACCATTCAATATAAACTAACTTATAAGACTAATGAATGCTTTTCATTTGATCAGATATAAACTGCCCAAAAGAGAAACTCTCCAAAGTTAGAGTTGGCGCAGGCTTTTGTTTTTGTCTTCCAGGAGAATGAAGGAATCCAACTAAGGAATCTGAAGACTACTGGACAAATGAGACATGTGAAGAAAAAGGATGAATCATCCAGAGAAAATGTCCCAAGAAAAGGAGTAAATTGGCCTGTTGGTATCTCACATTTCCAACAGGATAAAATGTTATAAACCTTCTCAAACGTTTGTTTCTACTCTTCTCTACAGACATATAAGGCTAATAGTCTTTTTGTAGTTCCAGTTCAATTAAAAGTTAAAGCTGGCCTTGGAGCTGGAGCGTGGCGGCTCTCTCCTTCTCTAAACCCAAGCATGCTTATTAAAGGAAAATCCAAACTCTCTGTTTCATCTTAGAAGAGCCACCTAATATGGGACAGAAGAAAAACCAAAATTAAGAGACTATTTTATTGTCACTAATCTCATCATTTTTTTGGTTTTATTTTGACTCTAAAACTTTTCTTAAAGTATTAATATTATATAAAAAATTTATATGTATTTTAAACTTTCTGTCATGATGTTAATGGTCATATAGAGTAGTAACTAATTTTAGAAAAAAAACAATCTAGCTTTCTATACATGATTTTGGGCTTGAGTCTGAATCAGGTAACTAGGAATTAAGTTTGTGCACTCCAGATATACTAAACAAATTGTGATCCTTTAACCTCTCTGCTGGGATCTGCTGCATAGGACACTTAAAATGTTTAAATTTTTTTGCAGTGAACCATAACCATTCCATCAATGACCTTTGAAGGCTCCAAAAGGATGATGGGTCCCCACAATGATGATTCCACCTGTTTCATGGTAATGCCACCCAAAGATCAGCTTTGGACTACAAACTGCTCAGGACAATTTCAAGATGGCTAGCTGAGATGGTCCAGCCTCATGCACTACTCCAGCCAGGACTTCAGATGAGCCCTACACTTTCCCATTACACATAGACTGACAATAAATGATACAGCTAGCTCTTCCAGGACTTGACCATTATCTCAATTTTCTCAGGGTCTCCTAGAGATGCTGTCACACACACGCACACACACCCCAGACAGCAGGAAGTAATTTTAAGAACATGATGCCTGTTTAAGTTGGAAGTTCTGCTCCAGCTTCACTCTCCCCCATTCCAAATCCTGCCTCCTTTCAGAAAGGCTGCCAAGTGGCGGCTCCTCCCCAGAGCTACTCAAGACCATGCCTACAGGATATTTAAACTGACTCCTAGAGAACGGCCAGTTTTCTTTTCCAGTCTCCTCTGTTGATCTCATCAGAGATCTACTTAATATCTAATAATAATATCTAATAATCTACTTAATTTAAGATGTTTTAATTATATAGGGATTTTTATGACTATGAGATATGTCTGCTCCTGGCAGCACCAATCTACTTCCGAGAAGATGATAGGCATCAAAGAAACTCCATATGGAGTTTACTTTCTTTGTAAAAAGTTAGCCACTGGGCAAAAAACTACCCTTGCCTCAACTGTTGACAGTGTGCAGTCCAAATTAGACAAGCAGGACACAAAAGAAAGTGACTGCTGAACTTTACCAAGACAAGGCGGGACAGTCCTTCAAAATTCCTGCTTCACAGAAAAGTCTGTCGATATTATAGGCCTATTTGCTGAAGATGAATGCCCCCCCACATTATAGATGAACCTTGGGTGACTGTCCAGGCAGCCAGCTGTTTCTGTCATTTCTTAATTTTGGAAGTTGTTGC